TATATATATATATATATATAACTAACGTGTGTGTGTATGTCCATGTGGACATGTTGGTGTCTCTGTGGACCTTGGGGTTGTGTAAAGTCCAGCAGGAATGAAAAGTTGACTTTAATTGTTTACATCAGATCGTTCAGGCTCGTAAATAAAAACTGAAAAGACATTTGCACATTAACGTGTTGACTCTGCTCTAAAATATTTTTAATGGTTTGTATTTTTTAAATGTTGAAATGAAACGGCAGAATTTCAGTTCTAGAATCTCGTCAGCAGATGAAGTGAAAAATGTTTCAAAGCCTGAGGAGCAGAAATGAAAACTAAAACTAGAGTCTGGAAAATGTTCAGAGCTTCTTCTGGAACCATCGAGGAAGACGATCCCAGGAGGCGGAGCTTACACTAATTGAAAAGATCACACAGTATGCTGACGATGGCAGCTTCAGACACTAGCCTGCTCCTCCTGTGTGTCTTTCGTTGAGCCGAGCTCCTGCAGAGGGACGATCGGCTCTCTTTGGACCTCCTGCTGTGGCTGCTGTAGGGAGCCTGAGGCCGCAGGTTCGAGCCCCGCCAGGTATCAAGCTTGCCTCCTCGATGAAGAACAGAGCAGGAGAGCCCCAGATGCTGATTATCAAGACTCCTCTGTAGATCAGTAGGGGGAGTGGTGGCGCAGAGGTTAGAGAAGGTGGGTCTGTGATCGAAAGATCGCCGGTTCAAACCCCGGTACTGACGACATAAAAAATGTGGGTGGGATAGGTGAAGCACCCACACCTGCCCCCATCCTCATTTGTCCCACTCTGGGCCCATGAGCAAGGCCCTTAACCCCCACCATGTGCTCCCTAAACAGGTCTCTCTTGAAAATGAGTTCTCGTGGCTCAATGAGACTACCTTGATCAATAATACCTGGACCAATAATACCTGGATCAATAATACCTGGACCAATAATACCTGGACCAATAATACCTGGACCAATAATACCTGGATCAATAATACCTGGACCGATAATACCTGGACCGATAATACCTGGATCAATAATACCTGGACCAATAATACCTGAATCAATAATACCTGGACCAATAATACCTGGACCAATA